CATTATACCATATTCAAAACAAGACATTTTAATTGCAAAATAAATTAATTAGAAAGATTAATTTTTTAATTTTCGAAATCGATTACAGATCCTCAGCTTTCTTTCAATATTGATGTACAAAATGCATGAATAAAGATTTTAAAATTTTGTTGTTCAATAGATCGAAATACAGGCATTAGTTCCAGTTTTCTATCGCTATGTGGCGCTAGCATTTCAGTGTCTGTAGCGACATCTATTCAGTCTTATAAAAAATTACCATGGAGATATAATAAATTATTGGTTACCAAGTTACAAACAAATTTCCAAGAAGATAGATAACAGTAAATAAGAAATTAATAAACAGTCGTCAGTCGTAATTCATCCATTATAAATTCTGTATCATGTAAACGTTAAAATAAATTATAAAATTTTCCTTTGTAGTACGGTGACTTTATTATTTATCGATCATCGTACCTACATGTCCATAAAATGAGCAAATATTCATTTACAAAAAATGTCGATTAAATGGATTAATTCATGAACTTTTGCGATCGTAGCTTCCATTTTACCCTCAGTTTTTTTTCTACTTACCAGTATACCTACGAAACATATGAATAAAAATTTACAAATTTTATTTAATAGAAAACGAAATACTGTCTACGTGATAAAACTATTTCATGTCCATGCGTCGATCCCATTTTCATTCGATATATTAATATTGATCATGCACACGCATTTACGATACAATTACGAAGTAGTGAAAAAATTATAATTATGAAATTAATAAACATTTAAGTTTGCGTGCTGTAGTTGTGTGTTATAATATTTTGTTGAAAATGCAATTTATATTTAGATGATATATTTATATGTGTATATATACATACATGTATATTATATTATATATTATATCATTAACTAAAGATTATATATTGTTACTGTGATTGATTGATATATTGATACTGAACGTTGACTTTGATTTTTCTATATTTTATTGTATATTTTAATGTATTAACAGAATTAATTTTTTTATTCAGCAGTGATTATTAAATTTAAATTACATCTAGAAATAAATTTTTAACTGTTATGAGATAAAAATCTAGTATGTAATGATAATTCATATTTTCAACGGAAGTGATATGAATGATTTAATCTTGTAGCCGGAATTATTAATTTATTCGGCTTAAATGTGTACACGTGAGAAGTGAAAAATGTCTTTAGACCAAACAGTATGTGAGGGTAAGAGTAGCAATTCAATATTCGAATCGATAAATATATTCCATTTACTGAGAAATCATAATGATATTACGATGACAGAAGAAACGATTAATTTTAAGGTTATGTTGTGTAACCTTTTGTTGTTTTCAGATTTAAAAGCTTTTGAAAGACGACTTACCGAAGTAATTGCTAGTTTACAACCAGCAACTCTACGGTGGAGGAGTATGTTTTTTTTTTTTATTTCATTGCGCTTCTCATATTTTATATAATTCTTTGATAATTATTTACAATGAAGTGCACCCCACCGATTTCAATTGGCTTGAAACTGTATTGTCGGAGGCCTGATTCTAAAAAACTTTCCCCCTATACCAGCACGTTGCTTTTTTTTAGTTTTCGAGATATTAAAAAATATTTTTGATATTATACACAATGTATCCGTGTTTTTGTTACATTTGGATTGAGTTTAGGTTATAGATTCTAGATGAGAGTAAAAACCTGCCCTCTCCAACTTTTCATTTCGTAATACACAATTAAAGTCCGCTCAATGAATTAAGTAGAGATAAGCAAAAGTAGTAACAGTATCAATATCTCACTAATAATTTTTTGATGTAATGGCAAATCCATCTGATGCAATAATAATTTTATTCCACAGCCAAAAATTGTGAAATAAAAAAAATAGGCAGAGCGGAGAGAATCCTTTCTCTCTTAAATCTAACATAAACTGATACAATATATTTTTGTAAATGTCTTAGAAATTAAAAGAAAGTGATGTAGAAAAAAATCATGTTCAGAATCATGTCCGTCCATAAAGAATTACCAACTTTCTTATTAAATAATAATATAATCTTAATATTGCTTATTCATCTTGCTACTCAAAATATTTATCTTATGTGTACTTAATATAATATTTTATTTTCAGTACTACTTGGTTTCATTTCTGTGTGTACTGCTGTGGGTGCATGGCATTGGTTAACAGATCCAAATACATCAGCTGTATCATTTACACAAAGTTTATACAATCATCCATTCTTTGCAATTGCTAGTAGCATTTTATGTAAGTACAAACCAATATAGGATTTTTACTGTATATGTGTAGATAAATATTTTTAAATATAAATATAAATATTTTCAATTTGTTCCAGTTATACTGTTCATAATGGGAGTTCATAGACGTGTAATAGCACCAAGTATTATAACTCAAAGAGCTAGAAGTGTTCTCAGTAATTTTAATATGAGTTGTGATGATACTGGAAAGCTCATCCTTAAGCCAACAAGATCAAGATCATGAAAATTAAAAAGAAAAAGACATAGGTTTTGTGTTAATTTTTAAAGTGTTCATAAGTATTTGAATTCCAAGAACATACATAATGTAAAACACATTTTTTACATTAATGTAAGATTATTTTTATCTTCTAAAATTGTAATCACATTGAAGATAATACATGTATGTACAAAAAATTTTGCGTTTTATAAATTTATTCTGAAAATAATAAAAAATGTTTAAATTATATATATTTTTTACGCATTTATTTTGGAAACTCTAGAATGTATTGCCATGATATAATAATTTGTACAAAGTAACATTAGTTGTTAGTTAAATTTACTATATCGTTTATTTTAAAACAATTTGATATTGTAGTTAACAAATTTTTTTATCATTGACACAATATTATGAATATTAAAAAAACATATAATTCTTGCCATATATGTTTGTTAAGAGATAATATAAGTTAAAATTTTCATGTAAGATTTTATTATGTATATAAACACATAAGTATAAATATATGAGTGTTTATAATATCAATAATGCATATAAGAACATGATTGTATATTTAATGTAAAATACATTTGGTTACAATATGCTTAAATAAATCAAAATTCTTTGTAATATTGACTAAAAATATATATAATTTATCATTTCGAATTTTATGTCCAATTTAATTTTTATTGATAGTATATTTCTTTTTATAATTATGATAATCAACAATAACGTTTAAATATTTGCTATAAAAAATAATTATGGTGAGTAAATGAAACTCATAACGATCAAAACATTTATTCGTATTTTGCAACGCACAATCACGCGATTTATTTCATACAATACATATACAATATTATTTACTTATGCAGATCAATATTCATTCAAAATCAACTGCAGCGTTATATTTTAAGACGCGATTCTCAGTCCCAGTATTATATTATCTACGATATATATATATACAAAGGATAATTATCAAATATTATAAGTATAACACTCTAAATATTGCTCGTTGCAATATTTGGGAAACTAAAAATTTTCAATATTTGTGCATTCCTAAGTGCACATTTTCAACATATAACATTTCGTACGTATACGAAAAATTTTTTTTGGACTTTCACATAATTTTAAATTAATTAAATTGAAAATAAAATTACGGATTTGTTGATAATTCAAAATAATGACATGTCCATTCGAATTTTTTATATATTTTGTTATTTATAACATACTCAATTTATGAAAACTATATTTGAGTAAAAGATGGTATTATGTGAAAAGTTTAATATTTTGAGTTCCTTATGAACTGTATAAATGGCAAGCAGGAACATTATTACTTTTGAATCGAAAAACATTTTAAAATATCCTGATAAAAGATATTCTAATAAAAATTAACGGTTTATTATATTGATAAATTTATCGATTTTTATTTAAAAAGAACAAGAAAACAAAAATTGGAATATAACACTGAAAATTACTGGCGTTGTAGTTTTACAAATTCTGAAATGTTATACAACTACTTGGTTCATTTTCTTATTCACTCTAAAGTATTTTGCAAAATGATTTTATGATATCTGTTTGTCAGTACCTTACAATCTTGTATTTTGTAATTACAGATGAGGATCAATATTTAATGTATTAAATATTGAAAAGTAGAAAGTTATAGTATAATAGATATACTTCATCACAAAAACCAAGCTAACATAGCATGGTTGCATTTATTTACGTGTGGAACTCAAAAATAATTTAGCAATCGTGCTTTCTAAATTCACGTGCTAGTGCATAGAAAACAAATCACCAGCTGAAGGAAGTGGTGCTAATCCGCCCGTAACATCAGGTAATTGTGTCAAATCAGGCAAATTGGAAATGTGTGATTTCACCTCGGATCGAACAGCACATACTTTTTTAAGTTTTTCTTTATAGTCCTGTACAACATCATTAAATTTTATATTATGTATATATATATTTATTAAATGTGAATAATTTATTTTCTAAAAAGAGTACAATCATACCTCTAACGTTGATTGTGCCTGTTGAAGCAATTGTCTTTGTGCTAAAGTATAGTCTCTAAGCATAGTTAACAGTCTTCTCCTATCCTCCATTTCAGCTTGTAGTCGTCCATTATAATCTGCTAGCAGTGCAGCAGCTTCATTTACTGCAACACTTAATTGATCTGCAGCTGCCCTATCAGCTAAATTTGCCAGAAGAGAAACTTCAGAAACTTCTGGTGGTAAGGAGGCAATACGTTCTCTAACACCAGCATCTGAGGATGCTGTATTTTCCAAATCCTGAAATAAAGAAGGCATTTTTTAAGTCATTGCCTTCAATACATAAATTATATACATAAACATATTTAAGGATGTTTAACTTATATGATAATATGCAAAGTTCATTTAAAAGAATAAAGGGGATCCTTTTCATAAAATTAGATTTGATTAAATAAGAATATTATTTGTAAAAAAGAAAAAAAAATAAGAATACCACATAATATATAAATTTTAAATACAACCAATGTTATTATGTCATTATTTACATAAATAATAAACAAAATTTTTGTTAGTAGAACAAAAAAGAATATATTATAAAATAGATTAAGAATAAAAAAAATGGTTTAAAAATTACTATTGGGGATGGAAATGTCAAACTGTAAATATGCTTGCTAATATGCCTTATGGATTCAACATATATTTTTCTACATATAAGATAGTTTATTGCTAACGATACATATTCCGAATTTTTGTTGTATTTATAAATGATATTAACCATTAAAGCTTTGATGAGTTCTTCCGTCTCTGGCGGATCTCCAGCAGGAGTACGAGGACTTAATGTTACATGTAGCTCTTTGGTTCCATCTACTTCAACCTCAGTCTCTGATTTCTTTCTCTCCTTTTTATCTTTCTGTAATATATAATGAATATAATATAATTAGACGTATTATACATTATATTTATTATACTTTACAATTAAAATTAGTATTCTATATTACCTTTACTTTCTCTATGTCACTCTTAAATTTCTTTTTTGGAGGTTGTGTCCCTGAATCTTTCGAAGTGTCTGTAAAGGCAGCCTTAAATTCGGCAATTTGTAACTTATCATAAACTCCTCTCTCTTCCCAAATTTGGAGCAGCCTATTTAATCTTTCCCTTGTTTTTTCATCAAATCCTTTCATATGTTCAAAAGCTTTTGGTAACACTGTTTCAAATTCTTTCCCAAACTCTGGTCCTTTCTTCTTACTGTTTTGAATAACATCATTTGCCAAATACATAAACATCAGCTTACGATTATCTTTCACTATAAAGACATTAATAATAATGATGATAACAGTACTTGATAAAATATAAATGAATGAGAAGTAAATTTATTAATTTTATAAGTATAAAGTCAACTAATTTCAATTAGATTACAACAAAACTTATTGTAGAGTCATGTAATTAGTAAATCAGATTTATTGTAATATTCTATTACAAAACAAATTATAATACTTATGAAATAATATATTTAAAAATGTATGGTAGAATAAAATTATAATCTATCAATTGTCCAAATAGATTGTAAAGAATAAAACGAAGACATAATTTGAAGAAATTGTTAAAAAGTGAGATTGTTTGTATAAACAATTAATAACTATACACACAATTGTATGCCGTGTATGTGAGAACATATTACTAAATTTTACTTCTACATTGAAAATTATGATATCATCTAAAATGTAACATATTCTGACTGTAATAGACGATTTCTAACGACACAAATACAATTTTGCAATTGACATAATGTTGCGAGACCTATGTTCAAAATTACGTAGCGAACGTCTAACTTGCGAACCTAACCTAGAAATTTCTCTAACAAAGAAAAGAATTCACATGTGTGCGACTTGAAGTATTAAATAACTCGATAAGAAAACAATATCTGACGTCTAAAATTTAAGCAGTTGTATATTTATATCGTTCACGTACCTTTGCACATTTCTTTGAACCAGACTTTCACAATGGTTGGATGATGTTTCCTGTGATGAATTAACCAAAGGGAGAGTGTCTGAATACTTTGTTGAGAGGGATTCAAGTCCATTAACCGTTTCACAAGTGCACTTTCTGTAAACCCTGTCATTTTCAAATTGAAACGCTGTTTTGGCAGCAAAAGACGTATAAAACTCGTTTGTACAACAACTCACGAGCCGGACAAGTGTACGACTCAACAGCTGAAATACAAACATGAACGTTGCACTGAATGTTGCACCCTATCGCAAATTATTTCCTCCATTGTAGTTATTAGCACCATCTTTTGCAAACATTCTCGACTACATTATAAGGTATCGTCGACTTCACAATCGATAACTCGACCATTGTAGCTACGATCGTATTGGAAACAATGTTTCTTGTATTTTCTG